TAGCAACAGCGGAATTATTATTTTCTAGTCTGCAATGACTCAATCATCATTAAACATCACCATGGAAAAGTATATCCATAAAACTGTTTAAAATACTATCGCATATTTTTTAAATGAATGTGTGTTGCCAAAAGATGACTAATCACGTTAAAAAGATGATTAATACATTTTCATCTATTTTGCTGCATTATACAAAATTGAGAAACTTTTCCCATTTTTTTATATGTGTTTTCAGGCCCCCCCCCCCCCAACTTTCGCGACTTTCCTACGCCACTGCAAAGGCGGATCCCCCAGAATGTTTTGAAATTTTTTATTTTTGTAAGTTTATATGTTAAACACAGCAAGTTGATTGAAAACGGAAATAATATAGTTAGGTTGTCTTAATAAAATTAAAAATTGTGTGATTGCTTGCTTATAAATCATTATATCTGAAAATTGCCCCCCCCCTCACCTTACTAGATCGTCTGCATCCACAAATCAAAAAAAAAAATTTAAATCGCCCCCCAATCCTTTACGACATGGTCTGGATCCACCTTTGCTCCACTGTATATATATACACATATATATATATATATATATATATATATATATATATATATATATATATATATATATATATATATATATATATATATATATATAGCCCCGCCATCATTTGTATCATTGCTCACTGACAAAATTGACGAGAGTAAACAGCAACGCCAATAATGAAAAACGACAAGAGCTGTTGGCCAGACTCTCTGCTCTGCCTAAGTCTAGTTGGCCATACGTCATATTTTTTGTGAAAACTTGGTTCACAGATTTCTCTGACGTTGCCATACCCGGCTACCAACCTCATCGCAAAGGCAGAGAAAATAGGGGCGGCAGAGTTGCCATTTACACAAAAGACAATATTATAGTCAATGAAATTAATTCTACTCAGCTGAACTCAAAATCAATTGAGCAAATTTGGCGAGAAAATTTAAATGGGCGAAGAACCGTTTCTCCTCGGCTGCTTATATTGTCCTCACGACCTTAATGATCAGGTTCTTAGACAGTGTATCTCATCAATCACGGCCGCTCGGTAGATACTGCCTTATATAAACTGTTCGACAATGCTACTATATGGAAATTTCAATTTTAGCCATACATCTTATGAGTCTATCAAAGTTAATGGTGGCATTGCAACAGTTGCTCACGTGAAAAATGAGCGTCAAGACGATATCAGGTTTCAAAAGTGCCTTGATGAATGTTACCAAACTTAACTCGTCACATTCCCAACTTACCGTAGTAGTCAACACGTCGAGCCCACTAGCAGACTTGATATGATCATAACAAACGAGCAAGATTGTGCCATCTTCATTGAACAAAGTTATCCTCTCGGTAACACTACAATGGGCCAGGCACACTGCTTCATTGAAGGTCAACTCGCTGTTGTAGGCCCTAACAACTTTTCTATTTTGCCATTACAACCTTGACTTATTTAGAGCCGAGAAAACTACGCAGCGATATCCTTGCACGTTGCAGCTGTTGATTGGGAAACATAATTCACTGGTCTAAATGCAAACAATAGCTACCAGTTCTTAGTAAACGTGTATAATGAAGCTATCAATCTATAGATCCCATCAACAACTACTCCCTTCACTGAAAAACAGAAGCAATGGGTAACACCAGATCTTATTAAGGCGGTCAAAGCTAAACGCGTTTATTGGGCCAAGTACATTAATGCAGGTCACGATGCGCACCAATTACTCAAAGAATCACATCGCACCGCATGCAAAAACATTACTAAAATGGTAAAATCTGCCAGGCTTAATTACAAAGAAAAACTCGCCAGTGAGTGCAAAAACAACCTTAAACGCTTACATGCACATGTACAAAGCAAACAGAGGGTTAGGAACACTATTACATTGCTAGAAACAGCTGATAACAACATCACTACCGATACCAGCGGCACAAGGTCATTATTGAATAACTATTTTCATTTGGTTTTTGTTTTGGAGCCTTAGTCAGCTTTTGAAAGTCGTACTCAAGCAATTTGTGTTATCAACCCAGCAAGTATTTCTATCGATATAGTACAAAAGTGCCTCTACCACCTTGATAAAAAAAATCAACCGGCTACGATAGTTCACATCCACGGGTCCTTAGTAAATGTGCAGCTAGCTTCGCCAAACCATTTTAATTTAATTTAAAAACTTTATTTTTTGTTAATGATTAAAATAGTTTTAACAAGAATAAAACTAATTAAAATCAACACATTTAACAATTATAGACACTACACATTCACATGAAAGTCGTTAAAAAAAGAAGAAAAAAATGTCCACATATATATAGTCAGTTTACAATTCAATTTTTAAAAAGTATTTAAAAACAAAAAGTAAACTACAATTTACAAAATTATTATATAAATTACAAATAATATTAAAATATCCAAATTACAACTGTTTCATTAAAGAAAAATGAGTAAATATTGTATTATAATGTCAGGATAAATAAAAACAGTAATTAAAAACGACAGATTTTACAATAACAATTTTTTGCATACCAATTTTTGATATGCTTTTTGAACACCTCAGAACTTTTGATATGTTTTTTGAACACCTCAGAACTTTTAATATGCTTTTTGAACACCTCAGAACTTTTGATATGCTTTTTGAACACCTAAGAACGTTTAGAGGAAATGGTCTTGTTATCTAGAGTATTCTATAACGAGATGGCTCTAAATATAGTACAACATGTATTCTTATATTTGGAGCCATTTGAAGGTAGAATCATTTTTTTGCTACAACGAAGTTTAAAAAAAGGAACGTTTTTTGTATTGAATAAATCCTTCATAAATTCTGGATTTAGAAAATTAATTGATTTAAAAACTTCTATCATAAGAAGGCGCAAATTTCTTAAGTGGATCCTTGGACTATTATCAAAACTTAATAATTCATTAAGAGATAAGTCAAACCTTTTATGGACAATACAAAGAGCTTTTTTATGAATTCTTTTTATAAGGTTGTCATAGTATTTAGAACAAAACACCCAAATTAGAGGACAATAAAAAAAATTTGACATTATGAAGGCGTTAAACAACAAGGTAGCTTTATTACGGGATAAAATATTTTTATGCGTGAAAGAGCAAAACATTTACCATTAGCTTTACTGCATAAGTATTTAATGTGTTCTCCAAAATTTAGATTCTTATTAATTGCAACACCAAGTAGTTTCACCCTATTAGAGGCAAAAACTCTTATATTACCAATTTTTAGGTATTGATTTTTGTTTGTTTTTCAAACCAACTAAAAGTAATTGGAATTTATAAGGATTGGCAACCATCG